CCCTGGTTCTTGGATTAATTCTGGGTGTCTACATGCTGCACGAGCTCGAGCGGGCCCAGTAACGTCTCCATTGGAGACTTTGTTGTTACTGTGTCTGGCATATTGAATACTCTCGGTAGCTTGCCGGGCTCTCCGAGAGGGGCGAAGGAATCGAACTTGGGTCGGCCATGTTGGCCGCTTGTAAGGCGAACGCCCTACCGCTGTGCTATCGCTCCAGCCCCCCCCCCCCCCCCGACTGCTGCAAGATAGGGGTTGTGCAAGAGGGGAAAAAATTACAACGCAGAACAACTATGTTTTTAAAAAAAGGTTTTGCTTTTTAAAAATAGGTACTGAGGGGGCTGGAGCAATAGCACAGCAGGTAGGGCATTTGCCTTGCATGCGGCCAACCCAGGTTCGATTCCCAGCATCCCATATGGTCCCCTGGGCACCGCCAGGAGTAATTCCTGAGTGCATGAGCCAGGAGTAACCCCTGTGCATCGTCGGGTATGACCCCAAAAGCAAAATAAATAGATAAAAAAATAAAAATAAAAATAGGTACTGAGATTTTTTTTCATGAGATCATAAGATTTGCTTTGAGATAATGAAGGAAGATGGAAGGTGAGAGTAAGATATTGTCCTTTATAATAAGAAACATATTTGGTTTTTATTCCAAGGGTTCTTAGAGGATTCTCACCTCCTGGATCTAGCTCTTAGAACCCTTGGAATTTAGAGCTATAAAGCTGTCTTTTGTTATGTTAATGGTTACTTTGGGGACCCTTCTATGAATGGGACTGTTTACTTGGAGATCCAACTATGTGATTAGAGGGTTGGAATTAAAGTCCCACCCCTCCTTAACTTTCTGAGAGGGACCAGAGGTTAAAGGTTGAATCCAGTCACACTAGGGCTGCAGGGAGAATGTTACCCTTAGAGTATGACAGGTCTGTGCCTTCCCCCACGTGCCTTTCTAAATTACATCCTTTATAATAAAGTAATCGGACCTATAGATAGTTGGACAGAAGCGCTGGTTTCTCTTTAAGTGATAATACATTGCATGAGCTTTCCCAAGTCACCTTGTGGTATTTATCAAAGTTGCATCCCCTTGACTCCCATGATTCAAGTACATTGATTTTTTTTTTTTTGCTTTTTTTTGGGGGGTCACACCTGGCGATGCACAGGGGTTACTCCTGGCTCATGCACTCAGGAATTACTCTTGGTGGTGCTCAGGGGACTATATGGGATGCTGGGAATCGAACCCAGGTTGGCCATATGTAAGGCAAATGCCCTACCTGCTGTGCTATTACCCCAGCCCTCAAGTACATTGATTTTAAGAAATAAATACTGAAGTTTTTTTTTTTTTGAGTTCTCTCCATAGATTCTGCTGCCCTGTGGTTTCCCAGATTCTCCCTATGCCTCTGATTTTCATTTTTCTTCCTAGGATCCTGACCTAAACATTTTGTTTCTGTGGTAAAACAGTATTATCCCAATCTCCTGAATTCTTCCAGTGCTTGCCCACGTGGTGTCACCATGGTGGCGTGTCTCATGTGGGCCCCTAAGTTTTTGGGTCTGGATAGCATGATAGGCAAGACAAAAGAGCACAGAATTTTTTTTTTTTCATAGGCCATACAAAGAGAAGTAGCAGGCTGGATTTGGCCTACTGGCAATAGTTTGCCAACTTCTGACTTAAAAGGTTTTTTTTTCCCACCCTCCTAGAGGACCAGAGAGATAAGATGCTTGCATGTGGCCAATCTTTGTTCAATCCCTGGCACCACATATAGTTCCTTAGATACACAGCCAATAAATAGGCATATGAAAAAAAGTGTTCATTACCATGTATGTTCAGGAAAATTAAAGCAAATTAAAGCAACAGTGAGATACCGTCTCACCCTAGTGAGAATGGCATGTAGCAAAAGTCTGCAAATAGCTGGTGTTGGTGACAAAGTGGTGAGAAAAGAAACCTCGTTCATTGTTGAGTAGAATGCCTGTTTCAGCCTCTATGGAAAGCAATATGGATATTTCTTCAAAAGTAAGAGTAGAGCTCCCTTGTGATCCAAGCCATATGACTTTTTGGCATCTACCCCTCCAAATAAAAACATTAATTTAGAAGGATATAAACACATTTATGTTTATTGTGGTGCAATAGCCAAGATACAGAAAAAAATCCAGATGCCCAACTACAGACGAATGGATCAAGAAGTTGTAGTCTATATAAACAGTAGAATATTATGCAACTATAAGAAAGGATCAAATCATGCAGTTCACCATTACACAGATGGAACTAGAATATATCCTGCTGAATGATGTCAGACAAAATGAAAGGGTTAGATTCAGAATGATTTCTTTCATATGAGGGACTTAATGAAACACAAAGGACCAAAGACAACACACCTGGAGAAGTGATTCAAGGAACTGAGTTTGTTGAGGGGAGTGAAATGAATGAGAAGAGGAAAGGAATAGATACAGAATGATCTCTCAGATACGGGATTTAAAGATACACAGTAAGGGAGTAACAAATGACTAAAGGCGGCAGAACTGGAGAGCTTAAGGGGATGGGGAACTTATTGGGAGAGGCCTTTGGGATCTTGTGGGAGGGAACTGGGTATTCTGGTAGCTGGTGTGGTATTGAAATGATGTGTGCTTGAAACCTCTGTTAACAGTATCTCAAGAAAGATATAAAAGTAAAAAAAAAAAAAAAACACAGAGCCAGGAATAGCCCCTAAAAATTTCCTGGTGTGGGTCCCCAGTTTTCCTCCCAGGTCAGTTTCCAATTGGATCATTCTGCCAGAATCATTGATTAGATATCACAATTTGTAGGCCTATAGGTATGACTGTTCTAGGAAACCTCTGCACCCCCTTGACTATCATGATTCAAGTACATTGATTTTTTTTTTGCTTTTTTGGGGGGCGATGCACAGGGGTTACTCCTGGCTCATGCACTCAGGAATTACTCCTGGTGGTGCTCAGGGGACCATATGGGATGCTGGGAATCGAACCCAGGTTGGCCACATGCAGGGCAAATGCCCTACCCGCTGTGCTATTGCTCCAGCCCTCAGGTACATTGATTTTAAGAAATAAATACTGAAGTGTTTTTTTAGTTCTCTCCTTAGTTTCTGCTGCCCTGTGGTTTCCCAGTTTCTTCCTGTGCCTCTGATTTTCATTTTTCTTCCTAGGGTCCTGACCAAAACATTCTGCTTCTGTGGTTTCTGTCCTGAGCCTTCCTCTCTTCACCCTGGCAAATTTCACCAGGCCATGCCTTCAGTTACCACCTCACCCTGGTGACTAATAAGTGTGTATGTTTCATTCTGAAGTCTCTGCTGAAGTACGAAGTCTTCCAGGGTTAACCTTATCTCGAAGTTAAAATCCAGCTCCTTAGCGTGTTCACAGCCATGGTTGTGCACTGCCTAGCAGCTGGAGTGAGCCCGAGGGCAGCTGCCAGCATGTCATCCATCATTCTTCCTTCGTGCTGTAGCCACTCTTCACTGCTCTCTCTTGTTTCCATCTATTTCTCTCTTCTTCCCAGCATCCCCAAACAAATACCCTGCCTTTGGAGAATCCATGCAGAGGTCCATTTACCATTCGAGATTCAGCTCAAATATCTGTGCTTTTTTTGTTTTGTTTTGTTTTGTTTTGTTTTCTGGGTCACACTTGGCAATGCACAGGGGTTACTCCTGGCTCTGCACTTAGGAATTACTCCTGTCGGTGCTCAGGGCACCATATGGGATGCTGGGAATCGAACCCAGGTCAGCTGCATGAAAAGCAAACACCCTATCCGCTGTGCTATTGCTCCAGCCCCTATCATGTGCTTCTTAAAGCCCCATTTCATCTACAAAGTTAAATATTTTCTCTGTATTTCCATAGCATATTTGCACATTTCTATTTTAGCACTTGCCTTATTGCTATAGTTATTATGTCCAAAAATATACTGGCTGACCATCAGATATATTTGCAAGTTAGTTCTTGACTAAAGCGAGTCAATAGTTGTTTAGGTCCCATTTGTGTTTGTAATCTCAGCATGACAGAGACACTTAATTTGGAAGACACTTATTTTTTTTTCTTTTTTGTGTCACACCTAGCAATGCACAGGGGTTACTCCTGGCTCTGCACCCAGGAATTACTCCTGGAGGTGCTTGGGGGACCCTATGGGATGCTAGAAATCGAACCCGGGTTGGCCATGTGCAAGGCAAACACCCTACTATCGCACCAGCCCCTAGGAGACATTTAATTATGTTCAGAAATAAGTGAGAGTCTGGAGAGCTAGGATAGAGGTTAAGTGCCTGTGGCTTGACCCTGGTTTGATCCCCAGGATAGTGTGCTCCCCTGACAATCACCAGGTGCAGCCCTGGGGTGTCCGGGTCCCTCAGCACCACAGGCCTGAACTGCACTGCATCCGTGGGACCTTGCATTGAATCGAGGACTCAGCTGAGAATCACTGGGGGAGGGGGAACAGCACCACTTGGGTCCAGAAAGAAAAGGTGGATCTGGTGTAGATGTGTCTCAGTAGTAGAGCACCTGCCTTGCATGTGTGAGGCCCTGGGTTCAATTCCCAGCTTGATGGGAATACATGCTTACATAGGCTACACCGAAACAAATCAAAGTGTATTAATACTGAATTGGTAGGCACAGCTGGGCCTTTTTATAATTGTATTTTATGTCATATTTAAAAATATTAAGGCTGGAGCGATAGCACAGCGGTAGAGCGTTTGCCTTGCAAGTGGCCGGCATGGCCGAGCTAGGTTCGATTCCTCGGCCCCTCTCAGAGAGCCTGACAAGCTACCAAGAGTATCTCGCCTGCACGGCAAAGCCTGCGAAGCTACTTGTAATGTATTCAATATGCTGAACACAGTAATAACAAGTCTCACAATGGAGACATTACTGGGTCCGCTTGAGCAAATCGATGAACAACGGGAGGACAGTGCAGTGCTACAAAATATTTGTCATATATGTGTATATATTTATATATGTGTGTATTTCTATTATATATATGTATATATATTTTTTTTAAATTTTTCCCCCATGCATTGTAGGAGGAAAATTCTTCCAAGGATGGTCTCCCACTCAGAGTTGAGGAAACTCTTCTGTTCGGCGGATGCAGTGTGCTTTGATGTTGATAGCACAGTCATCAGAGAAGAAGGAATTGATGAGCTGGCCAAATTCTGTGGAGTTGAGGATGCTGTGTCAGAAATGTAGGAATAATATTTATTCACTTTATAAAATGACGAGCTATTGCAGACAGAGCATCCGGTCAGCTGTGGAATCTGCTGTCCCCAGACCATTCGGCTGCAGATAGTGCAAAAGTACCAGATCTTCAGTTTCATTCTTGACTGATAAGAAGTCAAGTTTCCTTGATATTCAGGAAGGTGTCTGTGGTTAATAAATGTGGTTTTCCAGATTATCAAATGATATATTTGTGGATGCAAATATATCCCAAATGCTGATGTGGGGCTGGAGTTATAGTACAGCGGGTAGGGCATTTGCCTTGCATATGGCTAACCCAGGTTTGATCCCTGACATCCCATATGGTCCCCCGAGCACTGCCAGGAGTGATTCCTGAGTGCAGAACCAGGAGTAACCTCTGAGCATTACCAGGGTATGATCCAAAAAGCCCAAACAAAACAAAACAAATGCCTCAGAATTCTGGTGTGAGGGCAAGGAGATAGCTCAAATGGTAAAGCACAGCAGTTTGAAACCTGACTAGGCTCTTGCCATGACACCTCTCAGCACTGAGACAGCTCCAGTGACCTCTGAGCACTGCCATGTGTGTCCTCTATTTTATTTATTTTTATTTAATTATTATTATTTTTTTTTTTTTGGAGGGGGGCTACACCTGGTAATGCTCAGGGGTAACTCCTGGCTCTGCACTCAAGAATTATTCCTGGTGGACCTCCAGGGATGAGAAGGGGTGCCGGGGATTGAACCAGATTGGCTATGCAAGGCAAGTGCCCTACCTGGTAATGCTCAGGGGTCACTCCTGGTTCTGCACTGAGGAATTACTCCTGGTAGCGCTCAGGGGATCATATGAAATGCTGAGGATCAGACCTTGATTGGTGTGTGTGCAAGGCAAGTGCCTTACCCATTGTACTATCTCTCCAGCCCCTGGGCCAATATTTTAAAGAAAAAATATTGAGGTCTCAAGCAAACTTTCAGTCATTTATTCCTAGGCCTCACACCCTTGCGTTGCAGAGTAATCTCTCATGCAGGGGAATTCTAGGCAGCTCCTTCCCGGTGAGCAGCTTGGAAGACAGCTGAGTGCACTGGCCTGATTGCGGGTCTTCCTCCTAGGACTCGGCGAGCCATGGGTGGAGCAGTGCCTTTCAAGGCTGCCCTCACAGAGCGCTTAGCTTTGATTCAGCCCTCCAGGGAGCAGGTGCAACGGCTCATCGCAGAGCACCCCCCTCATCTAACCCCGGGCATAAGGTAAGAGGAACCCGCTTCCTGTCTGCATTTCCCCGGTAGAACCTCTACTTGGGGGCCTGCCCCCCTGAAGTTATCTCACCATAACTTTATTTGTGAGGGCCCTTTAGCCCTTGGATTTGCTCTTGGACCATATACACTGTGTATGTTTGGATGAGTCTTTCCTTATTTTTTTCTCAAGGAAGTACTTAAATATCCTCTCCATCTTACATCTTTGCAGATCCATGGGTAGAAATTAATTGTTAATGCAGTCAGGCCTCATTGATTAATTTCTGAGTACATTTAGAAAGACACAAAACATGAGTTCAGCAGGCAATATGTTTTATTTGATGTAACTCGGGCAAATGTACTCAGGTAAAAAAAATGTATTATAGATGCCTTTGCATGTCTTCTAGCTTATATAAAAATCAGTGTTTAATACTTTTTATTTTTTGCAGGGAGCTTGTAAGTCGCCTACATGAACGAAATGTTCAAGTTTTTCTTATATCTGGTGGCTTTAGAAGCATTGTGGAGCATGTCGCTTCGAAGCTCAACATTCCATCAACCAATGTATTTGCCAATAGGCTAAAATTCTACTTTAATGGTAATAATACTTTATTTTATCTTTGGGCAATGCCCAGTGGTGCCCAAGGGTTACTCCTGGCTCTGTGCTCAGGGAACCATGTATGGTAATGGTTGAACTCGGGTATATGGGATGCAAAGCCTTTACCCTTGTACTAGCTCTTTGACCCATAGTACTTTACAGTTGTTTATTTTATTTTATTTATTTTTTGGGGGGGAGGGTCACACCCAGCGATGCTCAGGGGTTACTCCTAGCTCTGCACTCAGGAATTACTCCTGGTGGTACTTGGGGGACCATATGTGATGCCGGTGATTGAACCTAGGTTGGCTGCGTGCAAGGCAAACACCCTGCTCGTTGTACTGTCACTCCGGCCCTTTTTTGTTTGTTTGTTTGTTTGTTTATTTTAAAACTATTTAGAGACCGTGATTTACAATGCTGTGAATAGGGGTTCAGGTGTCCAGTGTTCTAACTTTGATCCCATCATCGGGGTCAGTGTTCCTATGCCAATACCCCAAGGTTCCCTCCCAGCCCCCATTCTGCCTCCTTATCACATTCCATTTTTAAATTCAATTATTATACTTTATTTTTTCTTTTTGGGGCACACCTGGCGATGCATAGGGGTTACTCCTGGCTTTGCACTCAGGAAATCACTCCTAGCAGTGCGCAGGGGACCATATGGGATGCTGGGAATCGAACCCGGGTTGGCCGCATGCAAGGCAAATGCCCTACCCACTGTGCTATCACTCCAGCCCCTCAATTATTATACTTTAAGTCACATGTTTACAATACTGTTGGCTCTTACAGTTTGATGTATACAGTTACCTCATCTGTACACCACTGCGTTGTCAAGGCCCATATGTTACCACCATCACTCTGCCTCGCCTCTGTCATCCCTTCTTTTTTTTGGGAGGGGTCACACCCAGCAATGCACAGGGGTTACCCCTGGCTCATGCACTCAGGAATTACTCCTGGCCGTGCTCGGGGGACCATATATATGGGTTGCTGGGAATCGAACCTGGGTTGGGCCGCTTGCAATGCAAACGCCCTACCTGCTGTGCCATTACTCCAGCCCCTGTCATCCCTTCTTTGGCTTTCCAGTTTCTGCCATGTAGGGCCATGGGTCTGCCCACATTTGATACCTCACATTTCCTTGTCTTGCTACTCTTTTTAAATAGCAGTAATACTTTCATTGTAACTTTTTTTTTTTGTGGGTCACACCCGGCAATGCACAGAGGTTACTTCTGGCTCTGGCTCTGCACTCAGGAATCACTCCTGGCAGTGCTCAGAAAACCATATCGGACACTGGGGATCAAACCCGGGTCGGCCAGATGCAAGGCAAATGCCCTACCCTCTGTGCTATCACTCCAGCCCCCATATTTTCTTCTTTCTTACCAGATTTTTATTTTCCATATTCTAGGACATTCATATCTATTGGATGTGACGAGTTAAATATTGAGGGGACCATATAAAAGGGTAGAGTGTATATTTTACATGTAGGAGTCCCAGGTTTGATCCCTTGTACCAGACTGGGAATAGCCTCCAAGCATAACTGAATGTGACCCCCCCAAAAATTTTTGTTAATATTGTTTTTATTTTAACTTTTATTAGTGAAACACCATGAGGTACAGTTGTAGACGTACAAATTTTGTGCTTGGGTTTCAATTATACAATGATCAAATACCCATGCCTCCACCAGTGCCCATTTTCCACCACCACGGATCCCAGTATCCCTCCCACCCCCCATACCCCCCATCTCACCCTGCCTCTGTGGCAGGGCATTCCCTTTTGTTCTCTCTCTCCTTTTGGGTGTTGTGGTTGGCAAAAGAGGCAAAATTTGTTAAGATTGTTAACAGTTAACAATTAAGGGCTGGAGTGATAGCACAGAGGGTAGGGCGTTTGCCTTGCACGCGGCCGACCGGGATTCAATTCCCAGCATCCCATATCGTCTCCCGAGCACCGCCAGGAGTAATTCCTGAGTGCAAAGCCAGGAGTAACCCTTGTGCATCGCTGGGTGTGACCCAAAAAGCAAAAATAAATAAATAAATAAATAGCAATTAAATATTGAGAGAGTGGTTGTCTCTTTTGCTTATGCCTTTTGGTTTTTTGATATCCTGGTTCTTTAAAATCAACTGAGGTCATTATCTCTCCTAACTTTAGGATCCATGCAATTATCTACCTGTATATGTCTGTAATTAATAAAATGTTGGATCCTATGTTACCCCTATGATTAAAAAAAAGGTAAAGGCCCTCCCGTTGATCATCGATTTGCTCGAGCGGGCCCAGTAACGTCTCCATTGGAGACTTCGTTGTTACTGTGTTTGGCATATCGAATACTTCACGGGGAGCTTGCCAGGCTCTGCCGTGCGGGCGAGATACTCTCGGTAGCTTGCCGGGCTCTCGGAGAGGGGCGGAGGAATCGAACTCGGGTCGGCCATGTTGGCTGCGTGCAAGGCAAACGCCCTACTGCTGTGCTATGATTAATTTTGTTTTATGCTGAATTTTACTTTATGTGAGCTCTCATGTATTTGAACCAATTTAGACTGAAGAAGAAAGATTTATTAGTGAGTTGCTACCCTATATCTATCTTTGAGGATGCCCCTGGACCCAACTTGGGTCATCACAGGGCCATAGCTATAGTATTTATCATTTTAGGATGTCTCCAATTTTTGTTTTTGGGTCCCATCTAGTGGCAACTCCTCATTCTGTTTGGAGGTCATTCTCAGTGGATCGTGGATTGAACCCTGGTCTCTGACAGGCAAAGCATGTACTCTAGTCTTTTGAGCCATATCTTAGGCCCCAAGATGTTTCCAATTATGTCAAGAGGTGACTAATATTCTTAAAATAAAGTTAATTACTAATTTAATGTATTAGTAAACATTTTGTTTTGCTGTCCCACCAGCAATGCTTATCAGGGCTTCCTCTTGGCTCTGTGCTCACTAATCACTTTCAGTGGGACTCAGGGTACAATATGGGGTGCCAGAGATAGAACCCTGGTTGGCTATGTGCAATGCAAGCACCCTACCTGCTGTACAATCTCTCCAACCTAGTAAACAGTTTTGAAGGGTTTGTAGAGACTGTTTAAAAACAGTGGGATGACCCCACACATCGCCAGGAGTGATTCCAGAGCACAGAGCCAGGAGTAATTCCTGAGCACTGCCAGGGGTGGCCCCAAAACCAGCTAAACAAACAAAAAGCAAGTATAGCAATTACATTATGGATGGAAATAAGCAAATATAAGTAGAAATCTCCTTTGAGATAAAGTTATTCATTAGCTTATTTCAATATTTTATTGTACTCTGGTACCTAAATGTTTGAGAATTGCTGCACAGGAAGCTGAGATTGCAAAATCAATTGCCCCAAGGTAAATATCAAAAGAGATACTTGACAAGAGATATTTGTAATTTAAAAAACAAAGCTTGTTTAATAAGGGTATTGATCAAATTTTTGGTTACTTTGGTAGAGGTGAGGTGATAAGGGATTGTGTGTGTGACGGGACCTTGAGACATTGGAGGAAGGACATCGCTGACATTGGTGGTGACAGCAGTTGTGGAATAGTGTGTGCACGAAACACTCTCATTTGTTACAAATCATAGTACTGAAATAAATATTTTAAAAAACCCCCCAAAACAATAACAAAACCAATTAAAAAAAAACCCAAACTAAAAAAAAATCCAAAAACAAACCAAAAAACAATGCTTGTTGATTGTGACATTGGTGTGGAAGCCCAGGATGAGTCACCCGAGTCTCCTCAGTGACATGTGTATGAGTGTATTGTCTATGGAAAAAGATGGTCTGCTTTGGGCTGGAGCAATAGTACAGCGGGTAGGGCATTTGCCTTGCACGCAGCCGACCCTGGTTCGATCCCCAGCATCCCATATGGTCCCCTAAGCACCGCAAGGAGTGATTGCTGAGTGCAAAACCAGGAGTAACCCCTGTGCATCGCCAAGTGTGACCCAAAAAGCCAAAAAAAAAAAAAAAAAAAAAAAGGACTGTCCGCCTAATACAGATCTTATGTAACACTGTTAACTGCTCTTTTAAGGTGAATATGCAGGTTTTGACGAGTTGCAGCCAACAGCCGAATCTGGTGGAAAAGGAAAAGTAATTAAATTTTTAAAAGAAAAATTCCATTTTAAGAAAATAGTCATGATTGGAGATGGAGCCACAGATATGGAAGCTTGTCCTCCTGCTGTATGTATGAAATGTCCATTTTTTCCAGTTGTATTTTTATATTAGACAGCTGATAAGGATTTATGAGGATTTGTAATCTAAATATCATGATTTTAGAAAACTGTAATGAATCTAAATAGCTATTTCAAATGCAGATTTCAATGTCAGTTGAGTTTATTTCTACTTAATAGGTGTTGTAATTAATGAATTAAAACCCATAAACCTTTCAGTCCCCAAGTATAGTGGCCACCTCTGAGCCCAAATATGGGCTCAACATGATTCAGGTTTATTTCTCCAAGTAATCACGATCACGATCATCCTGTTGTTCGTCGATTGCCTTGAGCAGGCACCAGTAACATCTCCTTCGTCCTAGCCCTGAGATTTTAAAAAGTGCCATATTCAAGGCTCTTTCAGGGTTTAGAGAATGAGACCCATCATTGTTACTGGTATTTGGCATATTGGGTATGCCACGGGGAGTTTGCCAGACTCTGCTGTGTGGGCAGATTACATTTGGTAGCCTGCCAGGTTGTCCAAAGTAAGAATGAGATAATAAGATAATAAACCCAGCGCTTCCTGGAGCTGGGTTTTATAGTCTCTGGGTCTTGGCCGTTGATGGGATTACACGTCGCTGGGGTGCAGTTGGTGGGTGTGACCCCTGCCTACTGGAAGATGGAGGATCTGGGTGGAGGATGCTCAGCCCGATCCGAGCAGGCTTGGAGATCTCAGCCCCGGGACCCGCATGCCTTTGTTCCTTTGCCGGTACCTTCATGCGTGTGGAGAGTGGTCTCAGCATGGTTGTGACTGGTTCTGGAAGTCTTCATCTGCCGGAGCTCTGCTCGGGGCAGGAGGGAAACTCAACCCGCCCCCCCCCAAGGGACCCCAGCAAGGACAGCCAGGTGTGGGGGCAGGAGACTCTCCCCAAATAATAGCACAAATAATAGCACTGTAGCACTGTCTTCCTTTTATTTATTGATTTGCTCGAGTGGGCACCAGTAACGTCTCCATTGTGAGACTTGTTACTGTTTCTGGCATATTGAATACGCCACCAGAGCTTGCCAGGCTCTGCTGTGAGGGTGGGATACTCTTGGTAGCTTGCCGGGCTGTCTGAGAGGGATGGAGGAATCGAACCCAGGTCGGCCGCGTACAAGGCAAACGCCCTACCCACTGTGCTATTGCTCCAGCACAAATATTAATGTACATAAAATGTGCACAAATAATAATAATGTACCAACAATTTTAGTCTACACATATATTATACTTGGGTTTGCTTAGGTCATTCCCAACAAGGCTTATTCCTGGCTCTGAGCTCAGGGGACCATATGTAGTGCCAGGGATTAATTTAGGTTGGCTGAAGGCAGGCACCTTACCCCCTGTCCTTTGAATTAATATTGTTTCCTGAGACTAGTAGAAAACAAATTCTCTACAACAAGTGTCTAAGTATCCAATGTTTCCATTCCATGTAGGACATTGCCTTCATCATTCTAACTAAGGAAAAAGGGAGCAAAAAAGTATAGCAGACGTTGTACCTAGTTTCATGAGATCTAAAAAATAATAATTTTCTCTGTGAATGACTAACCCAAAGTGGTTAAAGAGTCATTTTGATCCTTCCAAGTTAACATTTTTATTTGAGTCAGTTCAAGATAAGGATTTAGGATAGTTGGAAATGATCGCTCTGGATAAGAACTGTATGCTGAAAGTAGATAAAGGAACAAACATGATAACCTCTCCATACCTTTATGGCAAACCATAATGCCCAAAAGGAGGGGAGTGAGGAGAGAGAGAGGGAGAGAGAGAGAAGAAAGAGAGAGAAAGAAAGAGTGAAAGAGAGACAGGGAGGGAGGGAGGGAGGGAGGGAGGGAGGGAGGAAGGGAAAGTGCCTGCCATAGACGTGGGTTGAGGGTTGGAGGTGGTGGAGGGAAACGGGGTCATTGGTGTGGGAAATGTACACTGGTAGAGGATAGTTGTTGGAATATTACATGACTGAAACCCAAGAAAAAATTTATAACTATGTATCTCACAGTGACTCCATTAAAAACAAATAAAGTAATGGGAATTTCCGTAACAATTGTGTAATTATTACATCAAAACTGCATTTGTAGACAGGAAGATCCACCCCAGCAGGAAAAAAATTTGAAAAGATAATGCATCTTTAGATGATTTTCAACCAGCATTGGGGTTGAATACTGGACTAGTTTGAATGAGGACTGTCCAGTAGTAAAAATGTAGATTTCTGTAAGGGAACATCCAACCTACAGTAGATAAATGACAAAAAAAAAAAAAATCAGATGAGATATTCTGACCAGTCAGACGATGGCACATGGGGCTTGGAGGTGGCTCAACGGACTGAAGTAAGTACATGGTTTCCATGTAGGAACCCTGGGTGCAATCCCTGGTACGTCCAGGAATAACTCCCGAGCACTGAGCTGGGAGAAACCCCCGAGCAGTGTCACCATGGCACAAAAACAAAATATAGAAAGAAGTTGTCATAGCCTGACTTAACCAAGAGCAGGTCATGCGCGTGCCAATGAGGTGTCTGTAACCTCAAGGGACATCTGTTGTCATGACAACAGTGATGCCCAGCTTTCAGGAGGCAGCAGAAACAAAGTGGTACAGGGCTGGGTTGGTCAGTGGGCAGGGAATGGCAGGAGCAAGGGCTGAAGACGTGCACACCAGGCCTCAGGTGTCATCCTTAGGTCACAGAAGCCCGGAAATTAGCTCAGCTGGTGCTGGAATGCAAAAAGGGCTGACAGAGGAGCTGGAGCAATAGCACAGCGGGTAGGGCGTTTGCCTTGCACCCGGCCGACCCGGGTTCGATTCCCAGCATCCCATAGGGTCCCCCAAGCACCGTCAGGAGTAACTCCTGTAGTGCAGAGCCAGGAGGAACCCCTGTGCATCACCTGGTATGACACAAAAAGCAAAAAAAAAAAAGGCTGACAGAGTCAGGGGGATCTTAGGAGGGGGCTAACTTTAACTGGAAGGGAAATTTAACTGTGACTCCAAATTTACTGATCACCCCCACTCTCCCTTTTGTGCAAAAATGAAAAGAAAAGGCCAAAAGGGCAATGAGAGAATTTTATACTTACTAATGAGTATGTATTTCATCTGTATCCTGGCAGGTAAATGAAAAATACCATTTTGAAAGGTTATTCACTGGGCCAGAGGGATTCTTCTGAGCGCTGAAGTACATGGTCTGCATGTGAAAGGTCGGGGGTCAGTCCCTGGCACCTCATGGTCTCCCTGAGCACTGTCAGGGGCAACCCCAACGCCAGGAGTAGTTCTTGAATACTGCCAGATGTGGTTCCCAGACCAAAAAAAAAAGTTAAAAACAAGTAAAAGGATTCAGAAATAGCACAGCCGGTAGGGTGCTTTCCTTCTAGCCTTGGAACCCATGTGGTCACCTGAGTAGAGCCAGGTGTGGCCCCCAAACAAAGATTTTTTTTGTTTGTTTGTTTAAGGTATTACTTGGTAGAAATGAATGAAACAGTGTAGCTTGAAACAGTTTTATTAAGGAAAAGTTAAGAGTGCTTGCCTGGATGCAGCTCAGTGGTAGAACCTGTGCTGTGGCATGTTTTGAGGTTCTGAGTTCTATACTTGACATCAAAAAAGAAACAGGACGGGGCCTGGAGCGATGCAGAGCTAGGAGTAACCACCGTACATCGCCAGGTGTGATGCGGGGGCGGGGTGTGGGGGGGGGAACAACCAGGCAGGACGAAAGTAGCGGTTCTCTCAGTTTTAGTTTATTATTTTGTTTTTATTTACTATATTTCCCAAGTAAAACCCATCCCTGGAAGGTCACTGAGGTCACTCATGGTACCTGCTCTTCCAGGCTTCTCTTTGATCTTTGAATTGCCTGGCCTGAGTGTGCTTGCTACTGAATACCAGACTTTTACCACCAGAGGTGACTATATTTTCAGCAGCAGGTTTTTTTGTTTTTTCTTTTTGGGTCACACCTGGAGACGCTCAGGGGTTACTCCTGGCTCATGCACTCAGGAATTACTCCTGGCGGTGCTCCTGGGACTATATGGGATACTGTGGATCAAACCCGGGTTGGCCGCTTGCAAGGCAAACACCCTACCCGCTGTACTATGGCTCCAACCTCTTCAGCAGCAGTTTTTGTTTTCTTTTTTTTTTTTTGCTTTTTGGGTAACACCCGGCGATGCTCAGGGGTTACTCCTGGCTCATGCAGTCAGGAATCACTTCTGGCAGTGCTCGGGGGACCATATGGGATGCTGGGAATCGAACCTGTGTTGGCCATGATGGCTGCGTGCAAGGCAAACACCCTACCCGCTATCACTCCAGCCCCGGCAGCAGTTTTGATATTAAGAGAACAGGGATCATCATGAGTGTGTGTGCAGCTTTGTGGAGCATCATTCTGGGGTAGAAGGAGGCTCATGGGAGCTTGGAGGTGCCTGGGGATGACGGGACGTACGTCTGTCACAGCTGTGTGTACTGTGTGTGCGTGCATTAACTGTTTCCTCTTTTTCTTTCCTTATTAGGATGTTTTCATCGGCTTTGGCGGGAATGTGATCAGGCAACAAGTAAAGGACAACGCTGAATGGTACATCACTGACTTTGTAGAGCTTTTGGGGGCACTGGAAGAATAATTCAGATTTTTATGTAGTTTATAACAACTTCAGGTTAATTTTTTAAAAGTTACACAGTTTAAAACTGCTCACAATGCCTATTATAACTTAATGTTTGGTACTGCTGATCTGTACTTTCAAATAAAACCACTATTAGGGCGCCTAGAAAATTGTTGTTTTTTTAAAAAAAATTAATTCATGATGACTTACGTGAAAAGTTTTATAATTTGAATTCTTTATTTTCCTAGCTGTATTTTATTGGAAGTCTTTTAAAAGTGAACAATAAACACCTTCACTATGGAAAATTTGGACAAAGCACACTCTAAATGATTATTGGTTTTCCCTATAATATATGAATAAAAATTTATCCTTTTGAAGTTTTCTATTCTGCCTATTATGTATTTTAATGTTTCAAGTACTTTGTTTAAACCAATCACCACGTTAAAACCAACAACAGCTTAACCAAATAATCAAATGGTACCACATTGTATCATTCTCTAGCCAAATGAAATGAATCGAATTTCCTTCAAAATCAGAGTTTCTATAGGAGAGACATGAAATAAATTTGGCAACACTTAAATGAGATCCCAGACAACGAAACGGTTGTTTCCTAACTGAGTGCTCACTGGCAGCGCTCCCAGAAGTCTTCTGTGGCATTTGCACTTTCAGCAGCGTCATGCTCTGAGCAGGACCAGGCATGCCAGCTCAGTGAAGCAAGCTGCAAACTGCTACCACCCCTTGTGGGTGAACCAGATCCAGTCTCGGATGGGGTTTCTAGAAGCTGCTTTAGCTTATGCCAGACACTGCCATCCGCAGGGCGATTGCCTGAACAGAAGATGCACACTGAATTTGACCCAGAAATTCTGTCCCATTGAGAGACTGAGTACTAACACAGAAACTTTTTTTTAAAAAAAAAGCAAAAAAAACCAAACCAATTACACAAACCCTCCTTTGGCCCGCGGGCTCCTCAGTGAGCTGCATAAAAGCTGCATCTACAATCCGTTCTTTGTTATGTCGGAGGGTGGGTTTGAAATGGTGCAAAAATTGTACCAACTCTTTTCATCCCTTTTCTAATTCTGGACTCATTGGGGGAAAAACTACAGATCTCCTCTCCCAGGAGTTATGCACCTGGTAATAATAGAATGGGATTTAGAAATCATGGCGGTGTTATGTGACTTCCTAACCTTGTAACATTATTTTCCACTTTGATTATGTGCACTGTGCTTACAGAAAAAGAAAAAGTGCAGAATTGTGGTCATAAAATTGAAGTTTTATCAGTGGAAATGGTATTCAGTGGAAACAATAGAAATTGGTCAGAGTTGGATTGCTGCTTTTCTCTCCTGCCGGAGACAAGTGATTTTTCCAGGACACTAACTCCAGTTCAGCTGCCGCTTCCAAGAACAGGGCCAGCATTACAGATTCAGAAATCTAGAAGAGTGAACTGATCACAGGTCACAGTAGTTATTTTCCACATTTGTGAAAGGTGGTTTCACATATTCTTTCAAGTGATTCTCACAGTTCTGCAGTCAGCAGAATAGCTATGACTCTCCTCTTTTTTTTTTTTTGTTCTTTTTGGGTCGCACCCGGTGATGCACAGGGGTTACTCCTGGCTCTACACTCAGGAGTTACTCCTGGCGGTGCTCAGGGGACCATATGGGATGCTGGGAATCAAACTTGGGTTGGCCGCATGCAAGGCAAACGCCCTACCCGCTGTGCTATCTCTCCAGCCTGACTCTCCTCTTTTAACAGATGGAAAATCTTTCATTTCACAAAAGTCAAAGACTGCTGCAAGATCAACATGGAACCCAGGCCAATAATCTCCTAGCATGTGCTATCTTACGCAGTATTAATCACTTAATCACTTAACTTCCCGTTAGTCGTCGATTTGCTTGAGTAGGCGCCAGTAACGTCTCCATTTGTCCCTGTCGCGTGCTAGTGTAGCCCAATGGCATCTGTTCGCTCCGGGAACATGAAGGGCCTCAAACCGATCGTTCATGATCTTCACGAAGAAGTCTGACCATCTGGTAGGCGGGCGGCCACGCGGTCTTTTGACATCCCGTGGAATCCAGTCGGTAACAGCTCTAGTCCAGCGGTCGTCTTTAAATCTCATTACGTGACCAGCCCATCTGATTTTTGACACCTTGGCAAACGAGACAGCGTCCCTGACTCTTGATCGTCGACGGATGTCAGAACTCCGGATTCTTTCTCTCATTTGAGTGAAACGTGATATTCCAAGCATAGCTCTTTCTATTCTTCTTTGGGAGACCTGAATAGCGTTCTCATCTTGTTTGCGTAGGGCCCAGGTCTCTGAGGCATATGTTAATGCAGGAAGAACAGTGGAATCAAAGAGATGTGCCCAGAGTCGGAGGTTCTTCGTCCTCTTAGCTATTTCTTCGACGTTCTTGAAGGCGTTCCAAGCCGCTCTCTTCCTCCTGCGCAGCTCGGGTGCCAGGTCATTTGTCGTGTTGACCTCTCGACCTAGGTACACATAGCTGTTGCATTCGGAGATGGTCGTTCCATTGAGAGCAAATGGGGCGTCAGGAACGAGGCTGTTTCTCATAAACATTGTCTTCGTAAGATTCAGCTGTAGTCCTAACTTTCCACACTCACGGTCAAAGTCGGCCAGCATTTGTGCCACTTGGCTGATGTTTGGTGTTATTAAAACAATGTCATCAGCAAAGCGGAGGTGTTGTAGTTGCCGACCATCTATCTTCACTCCCATTCCTTCCCATTCCAGTCGTCGCATGATGTTCTCGAGGGTGGCACTGAAGAGTTTCGGTGAAATGGTATCACCCTGCCGCACCCCTCTCTTGACATCAACGATCACTTCTTTGTAGAATGGTGAGATCCTGGTAGTGAATCCGCAATACAGCTCACGGAGGATCCTGATGTATTGGGCTTGAATACCCTGATTGGCTAGGGCTTCAATGACCGCTTCCGTCTCAACAGAATCAAAGGCCTTCTTTAAATCAATGAACGTTAAACAGAGCGGCATCTTGAACTCCCGAGAAACCTCAATGAGCTTGGTTATCGTGTGGATATGGTCGATGGTGCTGAATCCTTTGCGGAACCCGGCTTGCTCGCATGGTTGTCCTTCACCTAGTGTTCTGCCAATCCTATTTAGGATGACTCAAGTGAACAACTTGTAGATGACAGACAATAGGCAGATCGGGCGATAGTTGCCAATGTCATGGATGTCTCCCTTCTTGAACAGTAGTACGGTCCTGCTGGTTTTCCATTGGGACGGAACCTTGCATTCAGACAGGTAGCGAGTGAAGAGCCGAGCCAGTGTATTGATGAGTACTGACGGCAGGTTCTTCAGGTGTTCAGGTCTGACCTTGTCTGGGCCGGGTGCTGTTTGTTTCTTTACCGACGAAATGGTGTGTCGGATTTCGGAAGGGAGAACGTTGGGAACGACATATCCATCCTGTGGAATTTGGTATGTCGGCAAGTGGACATGGCTATCGAAGAGATTTGAGTAAAAGTCATGGATAATCTTCTCCATTGCCGTTCTGGAGGATGTGATGGATCCATCAGGACGTCGGAGGGCAGTCATCTTGGTCTTGTAGTTGGCGAAGGACAGGCGGGCGTTACGAATACTTTTCCTGGCTTCTGCTGCATCTACCAGTACTTCTGCTCTTCTCTCTTTGAGGTCTTCCTTGATCGCATCTCTGCACTGCTTTGCGAGCTCGGACGTTAGCTTGCGGTTGCCTGAGGCAACCCCTAATTTACTAGGGGTTGGAAGAATACACCTTGAGCTAATAATACTAATACTGTGACCACAAATGTTCACAAGTGTTGTGATCACAAGTACTGAGGTATTACATCCTAGAATGGAGACCTGTTTTGAAAAGAACTCATGAGTTTGTAGGGCCTGAGAGATAGTTCAGTGGACAAGGCACTTGCCTTGCTTGAGCCACCTATATATGGCCCCCCAAGGACTCAGCAACCAAACCTGAGCACCAGTGGGTGTGACCCAAAAAACCCCTACCCTCTGTGCTATTGCTCCAGCCCTGCATGTTTTATTTGTTTGTCCATTTCTGCCCTTTCCCTTGTGTTGATGCTTTTGTCATAGTCATCTGGTGTCATACACATGCTCGGTTATGGGAGCTTATCACCCCAGCCCCTGAGGGTTTGCGTGTCATGTCTGGTGCTTGCATACTTGCTGGGCTCACATTCTTTTGCTTAGAGTGTTGTGTACGTTGTGGTTGAAGTGCTCACTGTAGGCTGCTTGTGCTTATAGGGAGGTTGGGGAAGTCACACTCCCGGCTGTGATGCTTTCTGGGGGTTGCAACCTTTAGTTAGGTGTTCATACGCACTTGCTGTGGGTGGCTGTGGGAGAAATCCCTTGCAATAGCACAGCGGGTAGGGCTTTCGCCTTGCACGCAGCCGACCCGAGTTTGATTCCTCCGTTCCTCTCGGAAAGCCTGGCAAGCTACTGAGAGTATCCCCCCTCATGGCAGAACCTGGCAAACTCCCCGTGGCATATTCGATATGCCAAAAACAGTAACAACAAGTCTCACGGTGGAGATGGTACTGCTGCCTGCTCAAGCAAATCGATGAACTACAGGAATGCAGTGCTAGAGTGTGAGAATCACAGTAGAGAGGCCAGGCTCAAACAGTGGGAGCTGCCACGAGCTCACTCACTGCATGTGGTACACCAGGAATCAAATTCATGACCTCACTCCCGCAAGGCAGCTGCTTTAGCTGCAGCCATCTTCTGCCCCCACCCTTATTTTCTGATAAGAAATGTCTTCATGGGGGCTGGAGCAATAGCACAGCGGGTAGGGCGTTTGTCTTGCACGTGGCCAACCCAGGTTCGATTCCCAGTATCCCATATGGTCCCCTGAGCACTGCCAGGGGTAATTCCTGAGTGCAAAGCCAGGAGTAAACCCTGTGCATCGCCAGGTGTGACCCAAAAAAAGTAAAAAAAAAAAAAAGAAAGTCAGAATGTGTAACCCCAAGACAATAGTTTCTATAAACTGGCATTTAAACAACACATACCCAGGACAAGAACTTTCTTAATACTTAACTAACACAGGCTCCCAAAAGCAAGTAATGAAACAGAAGAGAGAAATTAAAAAAAAAAATTCCCATTCACAATTGTGCCTTAGAAAGTCAAATACCTAGAAATCAGCTTAACCAAA